GTTAGAGTTGAAGACAGCCAGAGAGCCAATCAGAGTTTGACAAGTTCCAGGGGCCCATATGGGGGGGAAGTGTCAATAATCTTAATAAAAGGATCCAGGGACAAGGTCTGGGGGTATCCACCTTTCCATGCCCCCTACTCTTTGGGGTAGCTGTCTATCTTCTCCTTTCCTTCCCCCTTTTTTCAACTAAATCATCTTCTTTTATGTTAAACTTACCTCCTTGAGTTTGCTACTGGTACTGAGCTTACAATCCCAGTTAGTTGCTTGTTCGAGCAGAGCAGCAGTGTAGACCACCTCCCCGCGCCCCCCACACACACACAACTGCATTATGCAGCATTATAGCTGACTTGCTGTCAGGGGTGGAGCCTGGTAGGAGGAGGCAGTCACTGTAGACATTCCCCAGAAGGTTGTATCTCTCCTCTGAGTTTCTGTTGGGCCCTTCTGCTTCCAAAGCACCATCAGATAAGCAGCTATTCCTCTGCCATGTGTCTGTGCCATACCATCCTGTTTAAAGCCAGCCAACTATGTACTGAAACATGAGCCAAAATAAACCTTTTCCCCTTTTAGTTACGGGTGTCAGGTGTTTTGTCTCAACAATGAGAAAAGTGTCTAAGACAAGTACAATGATAAAAGACATCTTATTCATGTCTCCGCCAGGAAAGACTTCTCTAAGAAAACCTCAATAAAGCTGAGACCGAAGTGATAAGGAAGAATTGACAGTGGGCAGAGAAAAGGATAATATGGGCAGAAAGAACACCACTACCAAGTTAGCATACTTTTTCTCTACAGGTCCAGGCAGCATAAATTTTTCTCCTTTACAGAAAATATAGTCTCTGTCAGCTTCTCAGCTCTGTCCCTGTATTGCAGAAGCAGCCACAGACAATGCAGAAAGGAACGAATGTGGCTGTGTTCCAATAAAACATCCCACTAAATATGTGATTTTATAGAATTTCACAGGTCAAATGTACTCTTTTATTTTCCTCAATTCTTTGAACAATTCTTGGCTCCCTGGCTAGCCAGGCACAGTCATCCAGGCCATAGTTTGCCAACCCTTAAATAAGACATCCAGTGGTGAGGAATTGGTTGTGCTTGAGGAAATCTCACTGATCCTTGCGGATGGATTAGAGTGAGCAACTTGGTGAGGGATACCCGTTAAAGGGGGGTGGGTAAAAAAACAAGACCACATACCACCTTTGAATCCTCTCACCAATTCTGGCTTTTATTCTAGGAGCAATGCAAAGCCATCAAAGTACTACCATCAGTGAGTGAGAAAACTCTGGCTCTTGTACATACACCCTTATTCAAATCTCTATATCCCTGCCAAAGTTACCTAAGATATTCGCATCTCTACCTAACAACAATCACTCAGTCTTCATCACCAAAGAAGCCCTTAAAAACTGAACCTAAACTGGGCATGGTGCACATGCCTATAATCCCAGTACAGGAGGCAGGAGGTTCACCTTGAATTTGAGGCCAGCCTGGGCTACATAGTGAGTTCAAGGTTACCCTAAACCACATGGCACATCTATTTCAAGAAAACAAAACAAAACCACAACCGTGAATCTAGGCTACTTACCTGACCTCACCTCCTGCTCTCCCAAGGCCCCAGCTCTTCCAAGACCTGCCGACAATATCATGAGTGCCACAGGCTCTCTCCAAAACATCATTCCAGTCTTCTCTATAGGTAAACCTTCATTCATATCATGAGGCTTGTATCACACTTCTTTCTCCCAGGAACTAAATTATTTTCTCCCAAACCACTGAGCATATTCCTGTAGCACTACACATACTACATCTTCTGATGTCTGCTTCCACCCACCCTGTTCCTCATGCCCTCCTTCCACTGCAAGCAGTAAATTCTATGTCCCTCTAGGGTAGGGCAGAGTCCTATTTGTTTCCATGAGTGTGATGTCTATCACAGTTGGTAGCTCACAGCAGGGGCTCAGTTAGGATCTGGAAATTAAGGATTGAATAAAGAATAAACAAATGACAGTTCAGGGAATTCAGAACACAGAGCCTCATGTTCTTACTCCAAATATGCATGTGAAGAGTTCTACTGAAGCCATCTAACTTCCCTGCCTCCCATCACCTCACAAAAAAGAAGATACACTCCTAACACTCCACAAGTGAATGCTTTTCCTCAGGGTATAAGGGCAGAGCTTTTAAAATGAAAAGTGGTTGTATAAGTCTTCAGGCCAGCAATATCAGCATCACTTGGCAGCTTGTTAGAAATGAAAGGTCTCAAATTCTCAGTCCCTGCCACAGGGGTGCTGACTCAGAATGTTAGGCTTAACAAGATCTCCAAGTGATTTATTTACCTATTCAAGTTTGGAAACCCTAAAGCCATCTCTGGAAGGCTTTAAGAAGATACTAATACTGACTTTTAATTCTCAATTTGTAATCATGCTGAAACCAAAAGGACTCTCAACAAGAATTCCTCCTGTGTATGTTTAGAAAAACAAAAACAAAAACAAAAACAAAAACAAAAAAAGACCATATAGACCTGAGGCTCACTTTCAGGTAGCTAAATAAGTAGAATGACAACGTTTAGAGCCTTAGAAAATTCTGAAAGCTCTCCAAGGTTTGCCATCACTGCCCTATGTGGTCTGGTGACCAGAGAATCCACTTGAGGAGCGAGACCTGGTGTGATTTCATTTACTAGCACTGGGTTTCAGGCAGTCTGAGTCCATTTTTCAGATTGTATATGAAGGCTGGGAGCTAAGAGTGCCTGAGAAGGTGCCCCAGCACGATTACCATGGGGAATGAGATGGGAGGGGAGGGCACTGACTTTTTTAAAATGAATTAACAGAAGATGTCCTTAGGAGCTCACAAACATTACCATAAAATCTGGAAATATTTTCTATGGGATTTATGCAGTGCAGACTGATCTCAAGTGCAAGGTGGTAAGCACTAGCACAGCTCTTATAGGACGTATGTGCAGACCCCCGGAGACATATGGCCATGGTGGCCACACAGCCTGGGCTCAGTCCACTCTGATATGAATCTACAAGCACCTGCCCAATCCTCCTTGTGTAACTCATAGAACTCTTTTTTCTGTGTTACATGCAACCCCTTTCTTCTTTTGGAATAAGTTTAGGTCACCTTTGCAAAAAACTATCCTTGTTCCTGGTCCTATCCCAAGCAGCATGCTTCAAAGAGATTTTAGTGATGCATGACACGGTGGCATGAACTGGGGTCAGGGCCCAGTATACACAGTTTAAACTGTGGCTCTACCATGTAATGGGGAAAGTCAGGTATAATTGGGGAAGTCAGATATCATCTGTCAGCCTCAGCTCCCCATGCTACCTACCAGCTCAAGCCTGGTAAGGTTAAAATGATCAGTGCATAACACACACCAGAGTGCAGAGCAGTACAGAGATGTACTCTGACTGACATTTGGGTATTTGAGTCTGGTTTTCAAACTGACCTCATCCAACTCTCTTACTGTACAGATGAAAAAGAGTATGGGGTCTGAGATTTCTTGCCCAAGAAGGCACATAATTGTTGACAGAGTTAGAATTAGATCTGTAAAACCCTTGACTTCTAAGAAACTTTTGTTTTCATACTTAGCAAGCACAGAAGCCTTTTTCCAGATAAAAATTTATAAAATTTATCTATTTATAATAGATAGCAAGCCAACTAAGCCCTCCCCTCCATCTTACTCCCCATGGTAACCATGCTGGGGCACCTTCTCAAGCACTCTTAGCTCCCAACCTCCATACACAATCTGAAAAATGGACTCAGACCACCTGAAACCCAATGCTAGTAAATGAAATCATACCAGGTCTCACTCCTCAAATGGATTCTGTAGTCACCAGAACACATACGGCAGTGATGGCAAACCTTGGAGAGCTTTCAGTGACAACAAAGAGCCCACTGCAACACACATGCCATGGGCTCGCACCAACAATCTAGCAGTTTTCAAGTCCCTGAAGTTTCCAAAGGACTTCAACTTTCTCACACATCCATCACTAACAGGAAACATTAAGCTGACATCACCATTCTTCACACTACATAAGGAGCTTGACATCTGGAAACAAGAACCACTTGTAAGTGCCCTGACCAGTGATCACCACATCATCAAGGACAGGTGAGATGCGAAAGAGATACCCTACAATGTCAAGGAGGCCAGGGAATAATATGGTAGGGCTAAAAGTGACCCAAAAAGAAGGCTCTGGGCAGAAGATCCGGACTTAAATCCTAGTTCTGTCACTTCCTAACTGTGATGGTAATTAACTTCTCTGAACTTCAGCAGAGTCTAGATATTTTTTTTTTTTTTTTTTT